AGAAAGAGATCATGAGCAACAGGGACAGAGAAAGAAAACCAAATAGACACAGAGGCATTGAGACACAGACAGAGATAGAAGATAGAAGATTGCTCAGGTTGGATCCTGAGAGAAGCACTTTACAGGGAGGGGCTGAAGATGAGGAGCCCCTGTCTTCTAGGGTTGGGACCTGGGGTAGGGGAGCGCTCACGTGGGAAGGTGAGTCAGGGCAGCAGCCAGGCCTCTGCTAGGAGCTCAGAGTCCAGCAGATGCAACCCTGGCATTGCCAATCTAACCTATTGTCTTCATTCCCTCTCACCACCCTCAGGCAGGAAGGGATGTGCAGGGAGGCACTAGTCTAAGGGGCTGTGACCTTCCCAGAGAGGATGAGGAAGAAGGAGGCTCTCCAATCTCTCTCTCTCTCTCTCTCTCTCTCTCTCTCTCCTCTCTCCTCTGTAATCTCCTCCCTCCTCCAGGACTTTAGCTAGAAGAAAAACCTCTGGTGGAAGGAATCTTCCCACTGGCTTTCAATGGGGAAAAACAGAGGGAGAGAAAACCCTGCAAGAGGCCAGCAAAGCTTTCCTTTAGGCCTGGACAACTTCCTGAACCTGAGTGGCCATCAACCTTCCTGCCTGAGAGAGGCCAAGGGTAGGAGGAGGGAATCCTTGGCTCAGGCAGAGAGAACCCTTCTGCCATCCGTTTAGCCTCCCTGTGCCCCATCCTTTAGGCCCCCCATTCCTCCACTAGCATTAACCAGCCCCTGACTTGGTGTATCCAGAACAATACCAACTTTAAGAGAATTTTAAGTCCCCAAACCAGCACCTCCAAGTTCCACCAGGCACAGGTGCTGGAGACACAGGAAAAAGAGACTCCCTCAAACTCATGTCTGCCCTCGAGGAGCTTACACTCTACTGGGAGGAGACGTGTAAACAGATGAGTGAATAGGAGGCAGTTTGTGGAGGGGAGAGCCTGGCCTTGGAGGACCAGGAGGGAGGAAGCTCCAGTTGTGCCTGGGCCCTGCATGGAGGCAGGAAACGGAAGGTCAAGTCGAGGGAGACTTGAGCTGGAGATTTTGACTGGAACCTAACATGTGGAAAGCAATGAGAAATTAGACTAGGCGCCTCACTGAGGGTGGGGACTAGGAGGCGTCTCAGAGTAGAGACAACAACTCCCTTACTTTACACATGAGGGACCTGCGGGGCAGCTGGAGATCTGCACGGGATCTCAAGTCAGTAAATGTTCTCAGGAAGGATTCAAATCCAGGTCTTCCTGACTCTAAAACCCATCCTTTATCCCCCATTCTCCAAGGCCAACCTCCCTTCTTTTCAGGAGACTCAAAGCATTGGGCTTTTTTTCAGCAACCCAGGACCATGAGTAGGAAAGAACCAGAGGCTCTGACATCCTCCACCCTAACAGCCTGACATCCCTTGTTCTAAGGCCCCTCCCAGCCTTGACATTCCATATTCCAAGGCCTCTCTCAGCTCTGATATCCCCTGTTCTAAGGTCCCTCCCAGTCCTGACATTCCATGCTCTAGGCCCCTCCCAGCCTTGACATTCCATATTCCAAGGCCCCATCCAGCCTTGACATCCGCTGTTCTAAGGCCCCTCCTAGCCCTGACATTCCATGCTCTAGGCCCTTCCCAGCCTTGACATTCCATATTCCAAGGCCCCTCCCAGCCTTGACATCTCCAGTTCTAAGGCCTCTCCCAGCCTTGACATTCCATATTCCAAGGCCTCTCTCAGCTCTGATATCCCCTATTCTAAGGTCCCTCCCAGCCCTGACATTCTATGCTCTAGGCCCCTCCCAGCCTTGACATTCCATATTCCAAGGCCTCTCTCAGCTCTGATATCCCCTGTTCAAAAGCCCTTCCCAGCCTTGACATTCCATATTCCAAGGCCCCTCCCAGCCCTGACATCCCCAGTTCTAAGGCCCCTCCCAGCCCTGACATTCCATGCTCTAGGTCCCTTCCAGCCTTGACATTCCATATTCCAAGGCCCCACCCAGCCTTGACATCCCCAGTTCTAAGGCCCCTCCCAGCATTGACATTCCATATTCCAAGGCTTCTCTCAGCTCTGATATCCCCTGTTCTAAGGCCCCTCCCAGCCCTGACATTCCATGTTCTAGGCCCCTCCCAGCCCTGATGTTCCTTCTTCTAAGCCCCACCTCCTCTTCGACTTTCCATGTTCTAAGCTCCCTCCCAGCTCTGATACTTCATGTTCCTAGAAGCCAATTGCCTTATTTTAGAGATGGCTTAAGTCACTTGAGTAAGCTCACATAAGTTGCAGGGAACCAAGCCAGGATTTGAACTAAGGCCTTAGTATCCAGACCTAGTGCTCTCTTGGCTACACCATTCAAGAACATAAGGCTACCAACCTCCCAGCAGCTGATTTCAACCAGTTTGATATCTCCCAGCCCCACTTGCCTCTCTGCCTCGCCTCCCCTCGGGCAGCGGCTTCTGGGGCACCCTCGGGTCCAACATCCTTCCCTGTTTTCTCCCTGGGCTCCCCCTCCCTCTGGGGTCCAGGTGCCTGAAGACTGGGGAGTCGATCCCAGCAACCTCTCTGTATTTCAAAGCAGGAAGGCCCTGCTTGCTGTCATTTGCATGAGCCTTTGAAAACCACCCAGGCCTGCCTAGGAGCCCCACAGAAAGCTGGTTTTTATCCCCTTCAAAGCAGACTCTAAATCCAACGCTTGCTGCCCTTTCAATCATTCTAGTCCCTTCTCCTCCCACCCTCTAAACTCACTCTGATGCTTCCCCCTTCTCTCTTTCCAGAAGGGATGGAAATCGGCTTTCTGGATGGGATCCACTGCCCTGGAGGATTCTGGGAAATGCCCCCTGCTGCTGTGGCCCAGCCCTCCGGACAAACATGGAGTGCCCCGCTCCCATGCCGCCACTGCTGAGCTGAGCCTGCTTCTCTGTGTCCTCGAAGAGTGATAATCAAGAGATGCTCAGAGCTGACGGAAGCCTTTCAGAGAAGCTGGTCCCAACCTTCAGCTTACAGATGACGAAATAATAGTAATAATAATGTTTCAGTTCAGCAGCTCCTTAAGTATATTATCTCATCTATTGAGCTAAAAAGTCCTGGGTGAATTGCGCCCAGTCTCTGGGGACCCACAAGTCTGCCCCAAATCCCCGCCACCTGGAGTCAGAGGAACTGGCTCAGCCACATCCCCAGGCCTCAGTCTCACATCCCCAGGCCTCAGTCTCACATCCCCAGGCCTCAGTCTCACATCCCCAGACCTCAGTCTCATTGCTATGTGAGGCAGTTGGACAAGACAGCCTTTACAATCCCTTCCACTTCTAAATCCACGACTTTATGAACCACGAGATCTCTCTCCTCTGATGCTCCAGGTCCTCCAAGCCCCCACTGCCTCCCCTTAATCTCTCTACTTTGCCCCTTCTCCTTGTCAAGGCCACTCCCTCTACCTGAGGCCTCAATCACTCATCTCCTCTCCTGCCCGTCTTCGGTCTCGATGTCCACTAACTCTTTCCCCACTGCTCATGAAGATGCTCGGGTCCACGCCATCCTTAAAGGAAAAGCACCAGCTGGCCCTCCTCACCCCTCAAGCTGCCAGTCTACCCACCTCCTCCCTTTCTCTGCTAAACTCCTAGAAAGAGCTGGCCACTCTTCTTGGCTCCACCTTCTCGCTCAACACCCACTCAGCTGCCCCTGGAAAGCTGGCTCCCACCCCCGGCACTCTGCTCCTCCTGCTCCTCCCAGAAATCTCTCAACTCCTCCATCCCATGGACCCTTTTCTGGACGCCCCTGCCCCTCTGAACCTGCTGACCCAACTCCTTCTCCCCGGCCACTCTCTCCTGCCTTGATTTTGATGACTTGTCCCCCATGCTTCTCATCCTGCCTGTCTGGCCACTCCCTCTTCGGTCTCCATCACTCATCCGCCACCTCCACAGCCAGCCTGGGAGCTGAGGAACTGAGGCCTGTGAGCCTTCTCCTTGGCTTTCTCTACCGGGCTTGCTAAATCTCGTGGGCTCAAATATCGATTCTCTCCCTCCAGCCTGAATTTCTCCCATGAACTCCAGTGGGACGTGGTGCCAACTGCGGGCGGGATATCTCCTCCTGTCTGGCCTGTAGGCATCTCAAACTGAGTCTGTCCAAAACTGGATCCATCCTCTTTCCCCCAATCCCCCTCCAAATCTCCCTGTTTCTATGGTGGCCACAGCCGTCCTTCCAGTCCCTCCACACTGCAGTCATTCTTGACTTTCCTCTTCCCACAGCCCTCCCCATTTCCCATCAGCTGCCAAATCTTGGCACTTTTAGCTTCACAGATCTCTCGAATCCAGCACCTTCTCTCCACTCACAGGTATTGCTACAGTTCTAGTCCTCACCACTAGCCCTCGGGACCATGATAAGAGCCTCCTCCTGATTGTGCCCCCCGCTTCCCTCTCCAGCTGTCTAAATAACCTTCCTTAGACACAGAAGTACCAACATCCCTCCTTCCTCCTCTGACCTCCCACGATCCTTGTCTTCCTTCAAAACTCAGCTCCAGGGTCACCTCTGCCGGGAAGTCTTCTCTGTCTCCCCTTCCCCCATCACAGATATTTTCTCCCTTCTCCATTGCCTTTGTCTATAGCATCTTAGATCGAGAGATGGAGGGGACCTCAGAAGCCCTGAATCCAGCCTCCTCATTTTATAATAGGAGAAGCCAAGACACAGGTTAAGTGATTTGCCCAGGGTCACACAGCTAGTAGGTGTATGAGACAGGATTTGAACCCAGATCTTCCTGACCCCATGTTCAGTGCTCTCTCCACTGTGGTAGGCTGCCTCTCCAACTTGTGGACACGTAGTTTTCCCCCAGTGGAAGGTAAGCAAGCTTTCTCTTTCCCTTCTGTCTTTTTGCTCCCAGAGGTGAGCATGGCCCTGGGCACAAATAGGAACTGGTGGTCCTCTGGGCTATTCTCTCTCCATCCACCAGGCCGTCTATTCCCTGCCTGTGACCCCTCAGCCTGTCTGTACTACCCCCTTTCTGCCCTGTCAGGAATTTTCTATTTCAGACCAGAGTCCACCAGTGTCCTAAAGGACCCCTATCTTCTTTCCACAGAGGTGGGAAGGCAGTCAGACCCACCTAAGTAGGAATCTTCCACTCTCCAAGAAACATCTGAGTCGGCCTGAACCCTGGACCCACGAGGCCTAGATGGGTGTGGACCTCCCCTCTTCCCCACCCCAGACCCAAGGCCTGACAGGTTCTGCCCTTTCCCGGTCCTTCCCAGAACAGCTTTGGCCCCACTGCCCTGCCTGAATTTGGGGGTGTCAGTTCCCAGAGGGAGGGTGTTGGGGGCTGCTCCTGTCTGTAGTCGGTCCTGGCTCCAGTGGGAGGGGCTCTTTGAGCTGCCCACATTCCCTTCTCTTGTGCCTACCTCCTGCTCCCCAGAGTCCCTCCAGCTAAGCCCCACGGCCTTCCCTTTAACAAACCAAGTAGCAGAGCCTGTGGCTTTAGGCATGGGCTGGCTCGGCTCCTTCTTCTATGCCTGTCTTTTAGTTCCAGCTACAGGGCTTTGTAAATATTTACTGTTGGTTTCACCCAAGGGTCAGGCTCCTCTGGCCCTTTTAGTGGGCCAAGGAGGGTCGGGCTGGGGAAGCTGAGGGGAGGCAATGGGGGTCACCAGGGGAGGATAACCCTGAGCAATGGTCCACGTGGTCTGCCAGCCATCAGGAAGGAAGGCTCAGGGCTGGCTCTGTGGGCTGAAGCAAGAGGCCCTGGCTGTCCCAGGCTATGAATCACCTTGACATTTTCCAGCCCGTACAGTCCCTAGGCCCCCAGGAAGGCTTGTTATCGAGGCATCGGCCAATTCCCAGGGACATGGAGGGTGAGGAGGGGGGAGCCCGTGGCCACACTCTAAGGGGTGTCAAAGGGGCCCTCAGAAATCAGCACATAACTCTGAACTCCAGTGTCCTGGCTCCCAGAAGACAGCACATCTAGTAGAGAGCACTAGGCCAGGCACAGAAAGCCGGGAACTAAATCCCAGCTCAGTCAGAGGCCTCTCTCTATGACCACAGGCAAGTCACTGTATGGGCCTCAGTTTCCCTATCCATAAATGAGAGGAAGAGACAGTGGGAAGAATGCCGCACTTGGGTGCCAAGGTATTTGGACAATTCTCTGCTCTCTTCCTTGGGCAAGTTACTTCACTCCAACTTCAGAGGATGACAAAATCATAGGCAGGAGGGCAGAGACGTGAGAAGCCATCTAATGCAGTCTCTGCATTTCAGAGGTGAGGAAACTGAGTCACATAGGAAGTGGCAGGTACACGATTTGAACTCTGGTCCTCTGACTTGGGGGTTGGAATTAACAGCCATGAAGACTCCCACCACCTCTAAATGTATGAGCCCAGGGCCAGATGATCCCAGAGGGTATGGGATCCTGGTCCTAAAGCCAGAAGGGCTTCAGTGGTCACTCACGTGGTATGACACCCCATTTTACAGATGAGGAGACTGAGGCCAGGGAGGTCTTGTTTTACGGATGAGAAGACTGAGGCCTAGGGAAGTGAGCTGAAGGACACACAGGGAATAAGAGGGAAAGGTCCTCTGTTTCTAAATCTTTGCCTCTTTCCAGTGCACCATGTGCCAGTGTTAAAATCCCAGGCTCTAGTGATCCTCTGATCTCTCTGGCTTGGAGATGCAAAGCTCTCCAAGGATTATGAAAAGTTCTCAGCATATCTGGGACAGCTGCCAAGCCCACTCCAGGAAGAAGAATATAACCCAACCTTTTCATGAGCCGGCTCCATGACAAGAAAGAGGAAAGAGCCCCAGATTTTACAGTCAGAGTCAGAGGATCTGAGTTCAAATCTTGGCTTTGCCACTGGCCACTTGTACGACCTTGAGTAAGTAATTTCACTTCTCTGGGACTCAGTTTCCTCATCTGTAAAATGGCTCCTTCTGGCTCCATCCTTCAGATCACCTCATTTTGTCTGGATCGTACATTTAGAGCCAGAAGGTGCCTGCAGGTCATCTGAGGGGCAACTTCTCATTAGACAGCTGGAAAGAAGGGTCAGAGGGCCTGGGATCTGTGGCATGGGGATCAGGCCTGTGACTTCATTGGTCTGGGGAAGTCCCGGGTGAGGAAGGTCCCTACCCCAGAGCAAGTCAGCACCTTGTCTTCCACTTTGTTGTTTAATCATTTTTAGTCATGTCTGACTCTCTGTGACCCCATGTGAGGATTTCTTGGCAGAGATACTGTAGTGGCTCCAGATCATTTTACAGATGAGGAAACTGAGGCAACCAGGGTTAAGTGACTTGCCCAGGGTCACACAGCTAGCGAGTATCTGAGGCTGGATTTGAACTCTAGAAGATGAGGATTCCTGACTCCAGGCCTGGCACTCTAACCATTGCGCCACCCAGATGTCCTTCAACCTAAGAATCTTAGAAACTGGCCAAGTGCCTTGAGACATGAATTAACTCGCTCATGGTCACACAGCCAGGATGGGTCAGAAGGAAGACTTGAACTAAGGTCTTCCTGGCTTGCAGGCCAGCACTCTGTCCACTACACCAGCTGTCTTTCGGTAATAACAGCAATGATAACAGTGTGTGCATTCACACAGCACTTTGAGTTTGCTAAGTGAGTCACACGCCCCCTCTCATTTGCTCCTCACAACACCCCTGGGAAGAAGGCACGGTCATTATCCAGGCCTATGGCACATCCCCCTCCTCCATCCCCCCAAGAAACTTTAAGCTCCCTGAGAGGGTTCAAGGGCCTTATTTAATGGCTAAGAAAGCAAATGGATCGAATTTCTGCACTTTCCTCATCTCAAATCCTCCTCCTGCCTTCACCTGCCTCCCCCCCCCCCCCCCCTCCCTGGAGAAGACAGACAGAAGCTGAGGCCCACAGAGAGGACCCCCTGAGCAGAGGTGGGGGCAGGGGAGAGTCTCAGGGATCTGCCCCCCCAAACCACACCAGTGGGGAATGGGAGCAATGATTCACAGCAAACATGGCCCAGGGTGAAAAACAGCAGCAGAAATCACAGCTGATGGCCCTTTCAGCCGCTACCTTCAATCACTCTCTGGCTGGTTGAGTTCAGGATTAATACCTGGGCCCCTCGTCCTGTCTGCTTCCCTCTCCTCTCAGGGAGAAGGCCACCCACTCAGTGAGGGATCCAGGTGACTCCCCTCTCTCCAAAGGGACCCTGGTCTGTGAGCCCCTCAAGACTCTGGCTTGTGGGTCCCCCACACACTTACTATAATTAGCAGGATGAAGTAGATGAAGTTGTAGAAGGAGTGGGCGTCCATGACGTAGTACATGATTTCCACCCAGCCTTCCAGGGTGATCACCTGTGGGGGACGGGGAGGAAGAGGAGGGGGGAAGAGACAAAGGGGGGCCAGTTGGCTTCGCCTGGCGCCCAGAGGCAGCTGGGGGCTCCAAGAGGCCTAGTGACTGGGCCACTTCCCCCTGCAGATTGTTACTGTGCTGATCTGGGGAGCTTCAGGGGCAAGCAGCGTCATCCTACTGCTTAGAGGGCTTGAGGCTAGGGCAACATTTCGTCTTTAATAGACACCTCAATGGCCTGGAGTCATGGGACCAGAGAATGAGATTAGAGCTGAGGTCACTAAGGACAGGGAAAGTCCGAGCAGGGACGGACCGCAGAACAGGGGATGTCAGGGCTGAAAGGGACCTTAGAACATGGAATATCAGCTGGGAGGGGCCTTAGAACAGGGAAGGTCATAGCTGAGAAGGAAAGGCCTTAGAACAGGGAAAGTCAGAGCTGGGAGAGGCCTTAGGACAGGGGATGTCAGGGCTAGGGGAGGCTTTAGAATAGAGAATGTCAGGGCTGGGAGGGGCCTTAGAACAGGGGATGTCAGGGCTGGAAGGGGCCTTAAAACCTGAGCATTAGCTAGTGGCTCACATTTCTCTAGTGTCTTACAGTTTTATAAAGCTCTTCTTTCCCATCAGTCCCATGAGGCAGGTAGTCCAAGTATTACCACCATTTTATGATGAGGAGACTGAGGCTCAGAGAGGCCAGCTGGTTTCCCCATGGTTATATATCCAGGGAGTGGCAGCACTAGATCTGGGGCCCAGCCCTCTGAACCTGGCGGTCAGCATTCTCATCCCACCCCAGCATCGGGGGCACAGAGGATGCAGGGAGGACTGGAGCACCACAGCCATGAGCCCTCTGTGGCCAGGGGTCACTAAGACTTTGAATGGATGAATGGATCGCAGAATCAGGGGTCTGGACCTGGTAGGGACCCTGGGCCAGTTTGTCCAACTCTCATTTTACAGATGGGTAATTTCGGTCCTCTTTGCACCCTGCCCCTGGAGGGGCACCTACAGGGGGGACGGGGTGCACCCTGCTACCCTCCGCTCCCGTGGAGGGCCAGCCTGCAGGCGCGAGGCACTGATCTGCACCCTTGTGCACCGCACAGAAGGCCGGGTCCAAGCCAACCCCTCCTGCCCCATGTGTGCCAAGCCCCCGCCAGGGCCGGGCCATCACCTGGAAGATGACAATCCAGGCGTAGCCGATGTTGTCGAAGTTGATGGCGCCCTTGTGTGGGTTGACGCTGCCGGTGCGGCACACATTGTAGTAGCGGTTCCAGTTGACGCACATGCCGCTGACGTTGAAGTCCTGGTGAGCCGCGCTGTAGTAGGCGAAGTCATCTTTGCTCAGGCAGCACTCGCGGCCCTGCTCCTTGAGGGGGGGGGATCTCGTGGCAGCCCATGATGCCATTGTCCCCCGACAGTGAGCAGATGAAAGGCATCTCATCGTCCTCCTCCGGCTGGTAGTAGGGGGGGAGGGCAACATCTCCTTGTCTGACCGAGGAAGAGGGAGAAGACGTGAGCTCAGCTGGGAGCCAGGAGGGAGGCTGGACCAGCGTCCTCTGCCCAACCACAGGCTCCCACCATCCCACCAGGGAAATGGAAACATCCTCACAAGGACAGGACACCAGAGGAAGGACACTCGTCCATCCATTCATTGACTCATTCATTCATTCACTCATCATTCACTTGCTAATTCATCCACCCTTCCATCCAGTCACTCCTTCACTGACTCATTAATTCCCGGAACAAACCTTTAAGTGCCTACTGTGTGCAGAGTGTTATGCTAGGTGCTGAGGAGATCCCAAATTTGGGGCCTCTGCCCTCTTGAAGCTCCTAATCTGGGCTGGGAGGGGGATTAGATACAAACACAGGGAATAACATACAACGTTCTATATGAGTTGCACAGAGAGGCATGAAGCCCGAGTATGTGAGGGGCCACAGGAGGGGGGCTGCCTCCCCTCACCCAAAGTACCCTGTCATCTTTTTTTTTAATTGTGTGCACAGGAACTGGTAAGGCTGAGCCAAGGTAAATGGAGTTTATTGCTGTAATCAAATAAAACTTAGAACAAAGCTAATTTCATCTGTTGTGTCTGTTTATTTTGGAGGGTACCAGCCCTGTGGTCAGATCAATGTAGGGAGCTCCCAGTGTGGACACGCTCCAGCAAAGTCAATCAGCCTCTGGCCTGCCAGCTATGTTACCCAGGTATAGTAGAGGTTCCTAATTTGGGGTCAGTGAACATGTTTGCTTGTACTGAATTGACAACTGTATTTCAACATAATTGTTTTTCCTTATAATCCTCTGTATTTTATGCATTCCAGAACATGACTCTGGGAAAAGGTTTATGACCTTCACCAGACCGTCACAGGGGCCCACGACGTAAAAAAGGCTGAGTCCCAGTCTTAGATTAAATGACTTAGCCAGGGTCTTACATACAGGATGTATCTTCTTTGCCCTTTGCCTCTTGTCTCTTTACGGACACACGTGCACACACATACGCGGACAGACCCACACCTACACACATGCATTCGTGTATGTAATACACGCACACGTACACATGAACACGCACATAGATACACGTGTGTGCACACAGAGACATACACCCGTACACAGATGCACAGACACACAAACACATGCACATATATAAACACTCACAGAGACACATACATATACACACATGCACAGACACATACACACATGAACATGCATGTACGCACACACAAACACATGCACAAATACTCCACTGCCTCTTGCTCTCCCAGCCCTGGCAGTTTCCTCCAGAGATCCCTGGGGGCCTCCTTCTCCCCTCGCTCTGCCAGCCAGCCTTCCCCGCCCTCCCGCCCTCCCACTGCCCTCCCTCCAGCTCTTGGGCTCCCAGAATCTGGTCTGGTCAGTGCCTGGGGAAAGACACTCGTCAAGATTGCTCTGCTCTGGCCTTTCCCAGGAGGAGAAGGAGCCGACCTAGCAGAGATTTCTGGGAACAAATGAGCACAAACAGGGAGCTGTAGCCACTTAAAGGGCTTTGTCAGAATAGCCAGGTGGTCCTGGGACTACATTAACAGATAATTAATGTCCTGGCTCTGGGTTCAGAAACCTGAGTTCGAATCTTGCCTCGGTGTGATCCTGGACAAGCCACCTGATTGCTCTATACCTCAGTTTCTCTATCTGTAAAATGAAGGGGGCTGCACTGTGTGGCCTCTGAACTCTCTCTATCTCACTAGATTAGACCACTGTGATCCCATGAAACAAGGGTCCCACTGCCCTTTATCCTGGCCAGGCTATGCCTGCCATGCTGTGTCAACTTAATTCTATGAGGAAAGTGGAGGTCATTATGATCCTTTGACCCAATGATCTCACGACTAAGCATGTCCCCCAGTGAGATCAAAAATAGAAGGAAAGGACCCTTACATACCAAAACATTAATGAAAATTCCCTCTGTGGTGGCCCGACCCTGGAAAGAATGTGGCTGAACAAACTGTGGTCTGTGAATATAAAGGGATATGATCGTGCCCTAAGAAATGATGACTATGAAGGTTTCTGAGAAGTATAGGAAGACCTCTATGAACGGATGCAGGACCGAGAGAAGGATTTACATGGTGGCTACAGTAACATCAAGAAAAAGCAACCCTAAAAGACAGGAGAATTTGGATTAAAGGCAAAGAACAATCTTGATTCCAGGGGAATGATGATGAAACACCCTTCCTTCCTCTTGGTAGGAAGGTGGTGAACTACAGGTGCGACATACTGCCTACACTGTCAGACGGCCTTTAAGGTATGACTCTGCACTGCCACGACTCTGAGTTACCAAATGGATCCCACCATCCCGGGGGTCAGAGCTGTCATTGCTGCTCATTACAGGTCACACCAAGGACCCTGTATCCCTGGCCCCCTTTGCTTTCCTCTGTAGTGGAGTTAATCTAATCGTCATCCCTTGCGTATGTCCCTCTGCTACCCCTGAGCTTTCTGACACACACTGCTGATAACATCTGGGAGCTGTGTTCAGCTCCAGTTCATTTGAGGGAGGACATTGACGAGACGGAGCACATGCCAAGGAGGGTGGAGGCAGAGATGGCAGGCTTATCCAATTTTTAGGTGACGCAGAGCTGTCAGGGAGAGACAAACACTCAGTGGCAGAATCCTGATCTAAAAGGTCTTGACAGCCTAGAACAATGGCTGATCTATTAATAAAAAACTCAACGTGGATGATTGTAAAGGCTTCTGCCTGAGTTATGAAAGACCCAACAACACTGCCAGAACAAGACAGAGGAGACGTGACAAGACGCCGGTTCACGTAAAAGAGATCTCAGAGCGCGAGCAGACTGCAACTGCCGGAACCGCTAAGAGGGGTTAGGGTCGCCTTGACGGAGCTGGCCGAAAACGTGCTCCCCCTACCCTGGCCAGAACACATCTGGAGTACAGGACTGTGCTCCATCCCAGGTGACACGTTTTGGGAATCCAGAAAGCAAACAGAGAAATGCAACCAGGCCGCGAGGTGGACAGAGCGCTGGGCCAGGATGTCAGAGTCAGGATTTCCTGAGTTCAAATCTCACCTCAGACACTCACTGGCTGTGTGACCCTGGGCAAGTCAATTTATGGGAACAGTAACATCACCTACCTCTTGGAGTTGTGGGAAGCAAATGAGATAATATCTATAAAGGACTTAGCACAGTGCACATAGTAGGTGCTATCTAAATGCTTGTTCCCGCTCTCCTTCTCCCTTCCTCTATGGATTCTGGAAGCAGTAGCAAAGATTGAGGAGTGGCCCAACTCCTCCCCCTATTCCCAGCTGTCAGGAGAAGTGGAAGAAGGAGCAGCTGCCCTTGGAGATGCAGCCAAGGGCTGTCATGTCTTCAAGAGGAGGCTAGCTTCAGTGGGTACCACTGGGTGCAAGGACTGTGAGAGAAAGAGATCCTTCCCTCCTTTCCTCTCTCTCCTTCCTTCCTCCTTCCCCCCTTCCTTCCTTCTTCCCTCCTTTCCTCCTTCTCTCTTACCTTCCTTCCTCCTTCCTTCCTTCCTTTCTTCTGGCTCCTGTGGGAAGAGGCCTCAGGCAAAGTAGCTCATTCATGGGCCATCTATAGTTGACTGTGCATTTGTCTGTTTCTGGAGGTTGTATTTGTGTATGTGTGTGTGTGTGTGTGTGTGTGTGTGTGTGTGTGTGTATACATTTATACATACATGAGCGTATCTATGTATCTATCTATCTATCTATCTCTATAACTATCCTCCAAGGCCTAGCTCAGTCCTCTGCACACAGTAGGCACTTAATAAATGTTGGCTTGAATTATTGCTATTTGTGATTGTCTCTTATTCCTCCTACCAGATTCTTAGCTCTGTGAGGTCAGGAACCATCTTTTCTGCACTTTGTATGTCCCTCAGCCAAGCAAACTGCTCTGTGCAGAGCAAGCACTTGTTGGGTTGTTGTTTTTTCTGATTTACTACCACTCCAGGTACCCGGTGCCCGAGGGGAAGCCAATGCCTGGCTGGGAGAGCCAACCTCCCAGCCACTCAAATTGTCTGGAACACAGCAGGGGCTCCGCAAGCGCTGCTCCCTCCCGCCCTCTCACTCACGTGGTGAAGTTCTCCTCCAGGAAGCAGCGGTTCCGAAGCAGGCCGGCCCACAGCTGCACGCCGATGATGCCAAAGATGAAGAAGACAAAGAAACACAACAGCAGCACGTTGCCCAGCATGGGCAGGGTGTCCAGCAGCAGGTTCACAAGGATACGCATGCCTGTGGAGGAGAGGGCGGGAGGGTGCCGGGTGGAGCGAGGGAGGAAGGGGGGAGAAAGAGAGGGAGAGAGCAGGTGAGTGGGGGAGGGGAGCAAAGGCAGAGGGTCAAGAAATGACAGCTTCGGTCATCACCAGTGAGGTGGCGCCTGTCACGGCTCCCCACCTCCCGCCAGATGGAGGGAGATTCAGTTCAGCGGGTCTTGTCTCTCCCTCCTCCCATCCTCCTCCTGAAAACCCCAGTGAGGTGACAGAGAAGGCGTGAGGTCATGCAGCGTTGTAGCCCAAGCGCTCTCTTCTAGCCCCCAGAGCAAAGATGGACAACGTGGAAGGGCAGATTTGGCAGAGGAACCCATTTTTACACAACTCCGTATTCAGGCAAGGTGGGAATAAAGCCTTTATCACCCCAAATCACAAGGCTGGAAGGAACCAAACCTAGTCTAACCCTCTACCTTCTGAGAAACTGAGGCACAGAGAGGAAAAAATGACTTACCCACTTAACGGGTCACAGGTCATGAAGTTGGAGGGGGCCTCAGAGACCACCTCATCCAACCTCCTCTTTTTACAGGTGAGGAGACTGAGGCCCAGAGAGGTGAACCCACATACCCAAGGTCACATAAGTAGTAAGGAGCAGAAGTGACATGGGAACCAAGATCCTTGGACCCCAGGGCCGGGCAGCCCAGGTATTCAAGATCATAAGGTCAAAAATGGCAAGATTGTGGATTTAAAGCTGGAAGAAAGCTCAGTCTCGCTTAAATCCCCTCATTTTACAGAGGGGGAAACCGAGGCCCAGAGAGGCGTGAGTGACTTACGCCCTAGAATGTAAGTTCCTTGAGGTCAGGACTTTCTTTGCTTTTTGTGTTTCCCCAGACACTTAGCACAGTGCTTGGCATGTAGTCATGGAGAGCTTAAGAAATGCCTTTCCATTCATTCATTCATTCCTTCATTCTTGGGGTCATAGATTTACAGATGGACCTTAGAGATCATTAAGTACAACACATTCCTTCCCTCGTTTTATAAATAAAATCACCAAGGCCCAGAGGAGTTTGTGATGAGCCTAACATCCCTCAGGGATGCAGGCTTAGCTTCAGCCGTAGGGCTCCCAGAGGGCTGGGTCTACTCTGGGTGACACAACTGGACAGACCCTTGGTCAGCACCAGGACAGGCTCTCCAGTGGGGCTCAAGATGGCACTGGGATGAGAGCCAGTGGGAAGGGGGGATGAGGAGCAGGAGTGAGGGAGAACCAAGGGAGGAGGCTGGTGTCCTTGACCAGAAGTCTGCTTGTTTGGGGGCCAATGACGGCAGCTTTATTAACGAGGTTAATTTTGGGGGATTTGGATCTTTGGCTCCAAGTACCGAGTGCTTGTGGATCAATAATTAATGCCTACCACCAACTTCTGCCCCTGAAACTAGGTCAGCCTCCTCCTGGGGAAGGGGGTGTAGCTTCTCTCCAGGCCCCAGAATGAGCCAGGAAGCTGGCCCACATCTGAGTTTAGAGCTTCTGCTCCTCCTTCCCCCACCCCCAGCCAACAGAGAAACCTTCACTGTGCTGAGGTTGGGGGGAGGGGTAACATTCAACGGAACCAACTAGAAAACTCTTCATGACAACCAGACTCCCAGCAAACTAGAGCGCTGGCCCATACAGATTCCCTACTAATCCCCAATCACAGCTGACCCTCCGAGGCACACCCCTCAAAGGAAAGGTTCTACTCTTTTTTCTCAATTAATTATCCTTTCTCTTCCTCTCTGGGGATATGGAAATTTGAGAAGAGGATAATGAAGTTCTGGAAGCTGTCCTCTGAATGAGTCCCGCTAACTGGCCCTCCTCCTCAGAGGACTCCCTCCCACTCCCCTTTCTGAGGCTCTCTTCCTCCGTGGTGTCCTGGGAATCCAGGTCTTTCAGACAATCCATAGAGGCCAGACTGTAATTAGCTAATTAGGGATTTGTAGCTAGTTCATTACCTCTGCTGCCAGGGAAAAGGGGAGCATTGAAATTAGGAGTCTGCGAAGACCCTGGAGGCCCAGTCAATCCTCTTTTATGACTGTGGTCAAGTAATCAGTCAGGTCAGGTTGGGCCTCTCACACTGTCACCAGTTCTGTGGGGACCAGGTTGGAACCCACAGAAGGAACCCGCAGAAGGAAGGAGAATTGAGGGGGAGGGGAAGAAAAAAGAGGCAAAGAAATGAAAAACCAGAGGAGAAGAGAAAAGGAGAAACAAAGAGATGGGAGCTGCTTAATGCAGTGTAGGAGAGACAGCACTGGCCTTGGAGGTCTGGGTTCAAATCCCACATCAGATGCCCGCTGACTGATACTGGGCAAATCATTTCTCTGAACCTTCATTTCTTCTGCAAAATGGAGGCATTAATTCCACCCACCTCTTGTGAGATAGCCTAGGGGAGGTGCTCTGAAGGCTTCAAAGGCTGGATAAATGGGAGCTATCCTCCTAATTGGCCCCATCTGTGATTTCAGCAGCTTGGGGAAGTTCCAGTGTAGGATATTCCTTCTACCAGGGGAGATGAAGCAGTGCCTGATCTGAAGCACTGCGTGGGGGCATGGAGGGGCTCATTCTGACCCGGGTAGCTCTCTTGGCCTCTAAGACAGGAGGTGGCAAAGGTGAGCCTGGCAGGCAGATCTCCCCGCTACCTGCCTTTTCTATCTCCTCCCCCAACGGCTGCCTCCTAAGCCAGTATGACGACATGAAAAGCCATCTGGATGCCCCCTCACTCTCCTGAGGCAAAGGTCAATCAGCAGTAGATCCTTGGAAGGGGCCTTCTCTCCCAGGGCTCCTTTGCCTCCTCTGTGTCCTAGCCCCCTCAGGCAGTCAGTCTGGGGATGCCCACGAGCCCTTCTCAGAGTCATGTGTTTAAATGCATGAAGTAAATACGGGGTGTGACAAAAGAAATTAAATCTATTGAAATACGCCTGTCAATGTGTTTCATTTTTTTTAAGTTCACAGCCCCCAGATTCAAAGCCTTTGGCAGTCAGAAGAACAGGGGTTTGAAGGGACCTTGAGGATCAAAGGAGAAAAGTAGGTCTCTGAGTGGGGACTCTGCCTCGCTCACACTGTCACAAAGCAGCAAAGCCGGGGCTCTTTCCATCGCTTTGCTGTCAAGGCCTAGCCTCACCAGAACAGGAATCCCCACTGCAGCAGGCTGGATGAATGGACATCCAGCACCTGCTTAGAGAGTTCCAGGGATGGGGATCTCACTACCTATCCCAGAAACAGAGGGGTTATTGCCCTTTACCCTGCCCAGGGGATTTTTCAGATAGGGTTTTTTTTTTAAAGTTTATAGAAGTTCCTCAAGGTAAGTACCCTTCAGGTCTGTCTGCACAGAAGCCGGGGTGTGTAGAGGGGAAGGAGGTGGATCCCCTGGGCACCCTTAGTGAAACGCAGCTCCCCTGCTGCTGAACCTGTAAGCGGGCTGGCTAGATCTCCTCCCAGCCAGGAGCGGGGTGGGAAGAGGCAAAGGGGAGGCGGGGCTGCCAGTGAGGATGGAGGTGGGCTGGCACAGAGCTGGTGTAAATATTTATAAAGCACTTAGAAGCTCGAAGCATAGGATCAGGGCCACTTTGCCTGTCCTCCCGGCTTCCCCTCCCCCGTAGCTACTGGGAGGGAGGAGGGGCGGAGGGGGCGCTGTGGCCAGCCACTCAGGGCTGCAGAAAACATCTCCCAGGCACAGACTGTTCCAGAAAATCCTTTTCTGCCCCTCCCCCCATTTTTCTTTCCCTTTCTGTCCTCTCTCGATCTCCAGGCTTCCTGCCCCACATCCTCCTTCACTGGGCCCCAGCCCTGACTGTCAATTCCCAAGACTCTCATCCCCCAGCACCCCTTCACAGCCCCCGATACTCTGAGCCAGAAGGGGCTTACAGATCTTCTGCTATAGCCACACCCTAGTTTGTACAGATGGTAAGACTGAGGCCCAGGGAACACAGTAAGAGGCAGACCACCGATTTGAACCCAGATCTGACTCCAAATCTGGCTGCTCTTCCCCATGATGCCTCCCTCCTTCAGTTCCACAGCCCTGTCTCCCTCAGAGCAGCGGGGAGGGTCTCTCTTTCTCTTTGTGATCGGTTCTTCCACTCTTTTCATTCCTGGAGCTGGGAGCTCCAGTGGGGTAAG